AAAAATTGAAGACTGCCTTGGCTGCTACTATATATATGGTTTGGCAGGAAAGGAATAGGAGAATTTTTCTTAGTAAATTTTCAAAGGAATGGGATGTATATAATGAGATGGTTGGTTTTTTGAGATTAAAGTTTTGAGAATTGTAGTTCCCCGGGCATGCCTGGGAATACAGTGTATATGTTGTTTAATGTTTCAATGGAAAAACTTGCCTTTTTCCAAAAAAAAAAAAAGGAGTATAACCTGTTATTGCAACACAATGGGCCCAGCCAGCTGCTGCTTTTACTATAGAAGCTTCTGTTGGAAGAGGGAAGGGTTCAGGAGTCTCCTAGAAAAGTAAATTATTATAAGGAAATATGAATTCAATTATGTATTCAAATAAGGATAAAAGTAATCAATGAATTTGGAGCCTCAAAGAGTGCTATATTATATTACCCCATGTTTTCCTGATGTCACATAGCTTTGACCTAAATCATCTGTTGAGCCCCATGTAATGAGCTTCCCTGAATCTGATTGAAAGAAAACCATAATTAAATACATGCTGCTTATCGAATCAATTTTAAGTTTCTCAGTTAAGGAAAAAAATGGAGAAAAAAGAACGGGATTATAAGGTGAATCTCACAAAAACTGAACTTCTTAATTCTTAATTTCCCTCCCCCAATTAGTACACAAATAAAGAAGAAAAGACTGTCAATTTCAGTAAAAATTACTTGTATCGCAAGCGTTATAATTCAAGTTGAAATCTTCCGTATGGGTTTTATTTGGTACCCAAAAAAATAAAAAAATTAAGTGGTTTCAAGCTAAATAGAATTAGGGAATTCAATTAATTAGAAGGAAAAAAGAAAGAGCGAACTCGAACGAGCTGAATTCGCTGAAAGTCGAAAACTTTAACTCAGCTAAGCCGACCCAAATTCCCTCTTTCTAAATGCAATTTTAATTCAATTCAATTCTCACTCCCTCCTGTTTTCCTGCATCTTCTCGGCAACCAAACAGAGAGAATGAAGGCCAAAAAAAAAAAAAACAGAGAGAGAATGTACCAATATCAGCCCCCAGCACATAATCTCAATCACATTACCGTGAAAATCACGAAGAGATCGTCGTGAAGGTCTAAACCAAAATCTTTTAAGAGGAAAAAAAAGAATCCCAAAGGGGAATGAAAAACGCACCAGAAATTGCCATAGCGAATCCACAACCACCACCGCAAACATCCTTCCACAAGCCACCAACATTAGCCGGAATCCGCACTACAGCTGGGGATAAAATCGGTGCCCGTTGTGGTAACGCGCCAGGAAGATACCCCCACATGAGCACCACCTTCTCCTCCCCCATTTTAACTCCATCGCTTCCTTGTCCCTCTCCATTCATCTCTATCAAAGAGAAAGAAAAGGAAAGGGGAAAAACGAAAATTCCAGAAGTGGGACTGTTGGAGTCTTCTTCCTCTTCTTCTTCTTCTTGTTCTTGAGTTCAATTTCAGGTTTGTGGGTGGACTGGTTTGGTCGGATTCTGAGGGTAGTTAGGAGCCCTAATTTGGGCGAATTAAAAGGGGATGCGTATCATTTTCAGGGGAACGCGGGTGCCACGTAGGAATGATCACGTGGGTTGATTACACGTGGCAGGATATTGTCCGGGCGATGCCTCGACGAATTCTAGCCAGGAGTTAAGGGGAAGTTTCTGGAAGGAGGAAGGACACTCCCTCTTTGGAAAATGGAAGGGGCCGATGGCGTGCGTCGTTGCTGGCGTGTGCGTTTGAATTTGTCCACACGTGTCATCTCAACTAATGGGGTCCAATCATTAGGTGTATCCAGATGGCGACAAAAGAAGGTAAGAGTTGTCGAAAGTGTCCTGACACGTCATGCGTGGGTCCCGTTGCTTATTAATGAATTTTGTTTTGCCTAATGGCCAAAAAATGATTAAGTTGCTAATTTTGGTCCTTCAACTTTATAATGTTGCATAATTTTCATACTTTTTTTTATCCAACTCCAGAAACTGCATAATTTTAATCTTTCATCAGTTAAGGCGCAGTTGACTGTTAAAATATTCCAAAATAACATATTTTTTATGATGTGTAATAACACATCATATAAAAATGCCAAGTTAGATTCCACAATACCAAACAATTTACAAAATAAAAGCCAAAAATACAATTTTACCCCATTTTTCATCTTCTTCGTGGTTATCCTTCTCTCACTATTCATCTTCCCTTCTCCTCAACCATTGTTTATCTCCACATCCTTATCCTTTCTCTAGCCACTGACTTCCTCCCTATTCTTTCCCAATCATTCGAGTTCTATTTATCTTTTTGGGGACTTATCGATATTATATTGAATTTCAATGTGTTTCACAATCCAAGAAATTCGTGGGAAGGGTCCCCTTTGGATTTGGAAAAGTATAGATTCAAGAAATAAGAGAATTAAGGATACCCACCAGAAAAACTAATCCAATCCATAATGTACCAAAAAATACGAGATTTTCGTTACTCACCCAGCTTACACTAATTAGTAAGATTAACAAAGTAGCAATTAATGCAAAAATAACCAATTAGAAAGCAATAGTCACATTTCTACTAATTTGCAAAAACAGCCATCGAGAACCTTTTAATGGGTTTGTAAGAACCCAACAATTTGGGTTTGTGGCAAACCCAATCCAATGAAGCCAAATTGTTTGGGTTTGCCACAAAGCCAAATCGTTGGGTTCTTCACAAACCTAGATCGTCTAGGTTCCTCACAAACCTAAATCGTCTAGGTTCACCATGAACCCGATCGTCTGGGTTCCTCACAAACCCAAATCACTGGGTTTGTGAAGAACCTAGATCGATTGGATTCATGACGAACCCAAATCTTGTCTATAAAGCAAATAAAGGAGAGAGGAGAAGAGAAACATCGATGAAAAGTAAGGAATGATAGTTGGAAATAGTGGCGGTGGTGGGGAGAATAGAGAGAGAAAGGGTAGAGGAGAATGATGGTAAGAAAATCAAATTAAAGGTATTTTAGTAATTTTATATTTAAAGAATTGAAAAGAATTAAAAAAGATAATTGAATTTAACTTGGCAATTTGAAATTGTCCACCTAAACTAATTGTATGATTTGTCATTGACAAATTATGACAAAAAATAAGAAAAATGACACATGGACCGAGTTAATGGTTCTAACTAACGGAGGGATCAAAATTGTATAATTTCTAAAGTTAAGAGATCAAAAAAATGTAAAAAATAATTGAAGGATGAAAATTATACAACACTATAAAGTTGAGGGATCAAAATTAATATTCAACCAAAAAAATAAAAATAAAAATAATAAATAACGACAACAATATGTTTTGCTTTCCTTCTTTATTTTTTTTATATTTTGTAACGCTGAGTTAGATTGCCATTTGAAGAGTAATGCATATTTAACAAGTGGTTCTTCACTTGTGTTTTCCTTAAATTTTTGTTTTGTCGTTCAAATTATATTAAATTACATAATATAAACTAAATAAATAGAGTCAACACTTTTCTTTTTTATCATAAAAGATAATTTCAAACCTTGAATGTGTTAAATAATTTCAAACCTTATATGTGCCAAACACACCAATTTTATCTATTTCAAAATCAAAACATATAAAATTCTTACTTTAGTAAAAGATGACAATAACTATTTGACTTAAGAAAAGCAGAAGCAAGGAGAGAAGTTATGTCAACGAATTAAATTAAATTATTGCGCAAATGAAAATATTTTTTAAAATAAACTCTCCCCCTTTCTTTACTTTAAAACAAAACAAGTTCAAAAAGCAAGTCACTTTATTATTTGACAATACTCAATGTTTTCTTTTCCTTGTTGATACATTTTAACGGGTAGGGGATTGATAAAAAATAATTCACTCCATTCTCATTTCTCTACTCGCTTAGTGCTATACAACTTGAATTCAGAATTATTATTAAATTTTTTTTAAAAATTATTACTAAGTTACAATTTTGTTTATAACTAGTTTTTTCATTTCCTTATTTAATGTTATTATATAATTCGAATTCAAAATTACTATTAAAATTAAAAAAAGATCATTACTAAGTTACAATTTTGTTTATAACTAGTTTTTTCAGTTTTAAAAATCAAATAGAAAGTGACACACACACAAAAGGAAAAACAAATAAAAAAAAAAAAGGAAAGCAAAAAGTATCACTAATCAGCACTCCTCTTAATCTTTTTCTTTTTCTTTAAAAAAAAAAAAATCTCACTAAGCAAAAGTGAAGAAATGGTCCAGTGGCCCAGCTCAAATAGTGACCCTGATAAACTGGCCACTAATTCGAACAGCTTGTTATTGGGTACCGCTCCGTAGAAGTTAAAACCACGTTTGGGCTTCACACACCATGAAACAAGTCGTCCGTGCATGGATCACGCATGGGTCCACCATACCTACTAATATGATGGAATCTTTGATGATTGATCGTGTGGCTAGAAAGGCCGTTTGACACGGGGGTCTTCTAGTGGGAAAGAGAGGCCCAATGATTGTTTAGAAGTCACCCAACAATTGAGGTGTTGGATCGCGTGCGTGGGGGGGTCTAAGTCTAACATGACCTGTTGGGCCTTATAAAGTATTGGACAAAGTAGGTACACGTTACCCATTTTGTTATCTCTCGACAATAATTAGGAAATGGTAATTTTGAGTGGTGTGTATTTGGCAGTCAGCAACCAGTAAAATCAGTTAAAACATGAAAAGAAATCTTAATGGAAACAAGTCTCGTCTCCTAGGTTAAGTTTATAATTTAAATCTTAAGATCAACGTTTAATAAAATTAATTATATGCAGTGGCAGAACCAGGGGGTGAGGGGGCGAGGGGGCGCTCGCCCCCCTGAAATTTAAAAATCTTACAAATTAGTATATGAAAAATTATTTAATCCCTCCTGAACTTTAAAAATTTTAGCATCTTGCCCCCTGAGGAAAATTTCTGCCTCCGCCCGTGATTATATGTCTTGAGCTTGAACACTAATCTCAATGGAGAAAAAAGACACATATGGACATGATATCCGTGGCATAAAAGTAGGATAGTTATGGTCATACAATTAACTGTAAAGATAAAATAATTTTTAAGGTATTAATTTTATTTAATTTATTAAAAATAATTAATAATTATAATTGTTATTTGATTAATAATAAAACAATTAATATTGATTACATAATAGATTAAAATCAATATATAAATTAATATTTTTAAATATCATAATTAATTATTTTTTGGTATATTAAATAATAAATTATATAATAAAAAATACTTTTTCCTTTTCTAAACTCTCTTTCAATCATTTTAAGATTCAAAATTAAGATATTTAATATGAAAATTTAAGTTTTTAACTATTGGGATGTTTTTTATAAAATATCTTAACTAACTAGTTATAAAAAAAAAAAAAAAAGATCTTTTTTTGTGTGGCCATAGTCCATACCCACTCTCGGATGGTAGACGATTTTTTGGGGGCAGGAGAGCTTTACACAACGAGCATCTCATTATTTCATCCATGCATTCAAGTAAAGATGCGCATCCAGAATTATTTGATGGGGCCACACTGTTCCGAGTCACAACAATTGTCTAATGATTGAATGTAAATTGATGGTGGTGGACGGTCCCTTGATTTACAATCATTTGATGGGCGGTCACGTTGATTTAATTTGCTGCTGGAGGAAGGTACAAGTAACAAATCAGAAAATAACCATTTTCTGTTGATTGAGAAATGAAAGTGACAAAGGGGCCAGTAATTTTTCAGTGTCCCTTCTGCTTTCCTAACAACACAAGGAATCTTTGAACCTTTGCGGGGATAACGGGCAGATAGTCACCCAATGGGTGCTCCATTCACCCAGCCAAGGTTCAACACTCTCTCTGCCAATTCTTCCTCAATTTCCCAAAATACCTTGTCATAGAAAAAGGAAATCAATTTGGTAGCACAGTGGATGATGATCGGTTATATATTTCCTTTAGTATAGTAGATAATAAATTACGTAACAAAAAATAAATCTCATTTTTTTAAATATTTTTTTATTTATTTCAAATTTTAAATTTAAGATATCTAATATAAATATTCAAACTTTTAATGTTTGAATCATTCTCAAAAAAATGATAATAAATTATATAACAAAAAGAACCCTTACCTTTCTCAAATCTCTCCATTTGTCTAGAAATTCAAGCTCAAATTTCTAATTTGAAGTTTCTGATTCTTAACCATTCTAGACCTTATCTAAAGGATATGAATAATAGAATATTTTCTATAAAATGATATCCTCCCCTAACCTGAGATAAGAGTCCATGCACATCAGCATTGACAAGGCAAACAACCAAGTTCTTGGGAACTTGGAGCTGACACTAGAACAAAAGATTGTAGTATAAAAGCCATACAACTCCCAGATGGAAGGAAAAAGAGAGTTTTACAGCGACAGATCAAGAAACAGAGTGGAGATGTGTTCTTCCAGATGTCTCTTCATCACTTCAGGTACACTAAGGAGGACTACCAAGACATGCCTGAGTTGAAACTTGACAGGCTTCTTTCTGAATATGGGTTATCTAATCAAGGTGAATGGGTTTACAAGAGAGATCTTGCAATGGGTGCCTTTATCTGGCCTGATTCCATCATCAAAAACCTTCCCCACACTCCAACTTACTGTAATTATACTACAGTTTCAAGTGTTTCAACTTTCATGCATGCATTTTGCATAATCCTGCTGCTTGCCTTTCTACCATGAATCAGATTAATCCAGAGATAATGCCTGTGCTTCTTATACGACACATCAAGGGATGGAAATTTTTCACAGGTTAATTTTCATTTTTCTTTATGATATCAAACCCATTAGTAAAGTCACAACAACACTAATTGGGAACAAAGCCATACTAAATAAGAAGAGATAATCACCACGACTTGGTTCAGTCTAAGACATGTTCATCTTTTCATTTTTCCTTCAGAAAAGACCAAGACTCATTCACTATTTCAGCACCACTCCCCACCTAACAGGGTTAGGAGACTCCATCACACATGCTGTAGTGGCGCAGAGCTCATCATTCATGATTATTTAAGTGTTAAAATGGCCTAAGGCTTAATCCCTGAAATTGTCCCAGAAAGAATTAAAATGATGTAAGAAAATACCAAAAAGAGAAAAGTCTAACTCTTGAGAAAACCAGCTACTTTGCAATTAGTCATGTAAAAAACAAAGCACTATGAGTTACGGTTACTATTAACATAAAAAGCCACTACTAGGGTATCAAGAAAAAATCCACTCCTCTATGGTTTGTGGAATGTGTGGTGTGTTCTAGAAACGCCTCCGAACACGCCTACCATTGGGATTCACAGATTCTGCTGCTGCCCCTTCTGCTGCCAGATCTAGCCCATACACACTGCTGCTACTTCTCTTTCTACCTGATAGCAGACTTGTGTTTTCATCACCTGATGCAAAGGCCTTCAACAGATCAGACAACAAAGATGGACAGCACTCCTCTAAGTGCTTGAACCCTTCTGACTGCATTACCGCTGCAAAACAGGAAAGTGAGAAACACTGTTGACTGCCCAACTGAAACATTACATTCAACTCTCAATAGAAAAATATCCATTCAACACAGCTGAAAGTTTTAATTTTTTTCATTGACTCAGCAGATGCATGCCTACTTTCATCACTAACCAGACATGGAAAATTAACAAGTAAATGCACTTGCAACAGATGGACTTCTGTTGCATAAGTAATTAACAGGTGCACCATGCTCCCAAGTGGTTAAAACATATCAGCTCAAAAACCATAAATGACATAATATAACATTCAAAGCATTCTACTCAGCTAAATTATTATTGATAGCCATGTGCAGAGGCAGAGCAAATACAGATGCTTGATAATGGTCACAATACCAAAATTAAAAGTGACATAACCTGAAATTGCACTGGCCAGTGTTCTACAAATGTAACGCACCTCCCAAATTTGCTGGACTCGCTGCAAATTTCAAACAGATTGACTTAAGCTGTGTACAATGGTGTTGCTCAGCTAGTGCAAGAGTTGTTGCCACCGTGTCAGCATCCAGCTCATCACACAATTTTGATTCACACAACAATTTCAGTCGATCCAGATTATATAGATCAGCAACAGCCAATAGATGCTGTATCATGTTGGTGGATGTGCACATAGATGTTGAGCCTGTAACCTCGTGTACGTCAGGAAGCTTGTCTGTGTAAATAAAAAGGAGCATTGCCTGGACCATAAAGAAAAATAAGAAAGGAAGATGAGTAAGGTCTGATTTAGGTCGATTATCCAATGAACAACATAAGCATACCAAAACGACAAAATCTTTTTCTTAGGTGTTTGCATATGATTAATGTTGCCATAATATCTATGTCAATTAATATGACAAAGCATGGAGAGACATTTCATTTTGTTCAAATCTAATGCAACAGAAAACAGAGGAAGCATGTATTAATTTCCATAGTTTGCTTCTGCATACATTCTCATGTGTTCTTTCTTCTAAATTCAAACCCAAGCAAATCAAGGGAGTAAGGGACTAAAGATCAATACCTTGAAGATTGAGGGTTCAATATCCTTCACTGCAACTGTATCCATGTTTGGATCCCCAACAAGTCCAAAAAACTGTGCTCTAAAAACAGGGGAACGGGCAGCAAGGATCAACTTATGAGCTTTAAATGTCTCATCACCAACCTGGAAAGCTATATCACAACCAGCTTCAGAATCTAACATCTCTTTAAAACCCTGACCCATGTCCGATTGTGATACAGGGATGACATATTGTTTTGGTCCCTCAAGGCGAGTTCTGACTACTCCAACAGTGCAGTTCATGATGAGACAATCATCCTTTAGATAGTCAGAAGTTTCCAAAGTTGTCCTTCTAAAGAAACGCTTGTATCCCCTAAAATGATCATGAGGGAAGGAGAAGAGATAAAAAAATATATATATAAGACCCAAGAATCATGCCACTCCCCCAATTCTACATCCCAACTCCAATCTTAAACCATAATTCCACAATTGCAGAGACAAATAAACTGCTCAGTTTCATCTATAATTAAACCCACTAACTGACTTTGTTGGTTTTGAACACGAAGCTTACATTCAAAATCAACAAACCTTGATCTAACACCCAAATGGCGAACTGAAAATAACTTGCACGTATAAGGCTCAAGAAAATATGCAATTCAGTTATACAACAGTGAGAACATATCCACATTCACCAGTACATAAAATAAAATATTTAAACAAATTCAAATCATGTAAACCTAAATACTTCCCATAGCAGACCATCCTTGCAGAAAACCCAGCATAAATGCATGTTTATCTGGCTATGGAAAATTACCATGGATGGTGACAAACTAATCCCAAAGCCACAAATACTCTCTACGAGATTCAGCTTATATTTCAGATTCACGAATTACTATCCAACCTACATTCCACAAACTAAATAACTACAAAAGGGGAAGGAATTGAGCGCATTACCACATGCTCCCCCTATACTTCAAAGTATAGGGTCCGCTCTCAAGTGCACGATCAAAGTGGCTATGCACCTTGTGCTTTCCTTTTCCGCTCTGGTCCATAAGCGTGAGCTCGAACAAAGCCCTCACATCGGCGCCCTCACTCGCGAGGGCAATAAACACCGAGACGTACAAGGCGTTATCCTCATGGTTTTTGCCATCAGGATAAAAGTAAATAGCCCAGTCATATCCACCCACCGTGAAAACGTCGCTCATGATGCATTTACCCGGTCCCATCCCCTTCGCCAACGAGTATCCCTTGATCGTGAACTTGTGCGATCCATTCACCGTCTCGCTGACCGACTTCGACACCGAGTCCTTGAAATCAACCATAATTTTTATAAAGATTTACAAAACCCTAATTTTACAACTGAAACCCTAAGACAGGACGATGGAATTAAGGAGAGAGATCTCGATAACTTAGGGTTTAATCGGCGGAGAAGGTGGCGGTGACAGAAACGGCTGTAAGACTGCGATCATTCGGACGATGGTCTGTAAAACGAAAACAGAGGAGCTTCGCTTTCTAGGAAAAGAGAGTTTCCATGAACGGAACTGTGGTTGGACAGAGATAGAAGGGATTTGCGTGCGGGAGTCATGGCGGGGGGACACTTTATATAAAGTGTCTTGTTCGTACGAGAAAAATTAGGTAATGAGAGAAAAAAAATTTTTTCTTTTGAACAGTCCTGACGGGGGCAGTCCACCGATACGGCAGCAGGTTTTCTCGCATTTAGGGTTCAATTAAGAATATTTTATCGGTTGCTTTAATTTTAAGTTTTTATTTTTTTATAGGTTAGTGTTTGTTCGATTTATTTTTAAAAAATTAAAAAATAATAATAATAATTATTTTAATATATACTTTAAAAATAAGATACTTTAATTTTTTTCAATAAAAATTTATTAAAATAATTTAGTTTTAGAATAATTTTTTTCTTAATTTTTAAGAGATAATGCTAATAGGTACTATTTTTTTTTTATTATCTTAGAAATAAATATTAAATATATTTTTATGATATTAAAATATTAAAAAAATTTATAATTAGTGTTATAGGGTAACACTCTCACACCAAGCCTTAATAGTGGGTTTTTAATGTTTGATGTAATTCAAAATGAAATTGTGAACTAAAAAACTATACATCTTTGTTATATCTTTGTCAAATTAAAAGTTTGTGCAATACTTTTAATTCTTCTATGGGAAAAAATAAAAATTAATATATTATGATATTTTAAATATTATAAATTATTATAAAATTATTTAAATATTTTTAATAATTTTTTATATGTGTTAATTCATTAGTCTTTTTATTATTAATTTTGATATTTTAATTTTTCTCTTTTAAAAAAATAAAAACAATTTTCTTAATTTTCTTTTGCAACTTTAACAAAACAGAAAAATAATATTATGTCCGTCTTGGGTTAGGAGTGGATGTGGTATGGCTTTGACTATAATAAAAATTAAACTATTGGTTGATTGAAATTTTAGTTATTAAATTTTAAAAGCCATTAACCAAATTATTCGTAAAAAGTTTGGATTTTACTGGTTTTGGTTTTTTTAAATAACTATTCCATTCAATTTTGAATTTATCAAAACTTATTTTTATATTTTTAGTAATTTTTAATTTAGTACATTATTTTATTAATAATAAAAAAAAGTTAACCTATCAACTCATGAAATAACCATAATTTAACCCATAATTCATACGGATTGACATTATAAATTATCTATAAATTGATATTATAAATTATCTAAAGTTTATAAGTTGACATATGTAGATCTTAATTTATTTTTACGAGATAGGTCAAATTAATGGATTGACTAGACTTTTGCCACCCCTAAAGCTAACCTATCAATTATGCTCTTGGTCCTTCCTTCTCTTTTTTATTATTTATCTTTTTATTATGAATTTTTCTGCTCACTAGTAATTTGTGATGTTGAATATCTTATAACTAATGATAAGAGGCATACCCTTTGATATTGGGTAGTCTCCTTTTATTAATAGCCATAAAATATGATGCCAATAATTTATTATAGTATGTTTAGTTTGGAAAAAAAAAAGAAAAGAAAAAGATTGAAAGGATACTTTCTATTTAGATAATTAAATTAATTAAAAGAAAAAATAAAGTAAAAAACGTTATTCATTTAGATAAATAAATAAATTAAAAAAATAAAATAAAAAACTTTTTCATCTCTTCTCAAATTCTTTTAATAATTAAATTAAAAAAATTTCTCATTTTCTTCCATGTTTTTAATTCAAACATATTATTAAGAAAAAAACAAAATCTTGCCAGTCCGAATTGGCTGGACTGACAAAGCCTTTGTTGGACCGACTCTGAGTCCGGACTGGATTACGTCACATTTCATCCTGAAAATCCGTCGCTTAAGCGTATCAACAACCAGAGACTTCACAACACAAATTCACTCTGTCGAGCAAACACACACACAGCGCAGCTGCAAAGGCCCAAAACCAAATATAGAAATACAGCTGAAGCAAAGAGATCTGTACAATCCGCAGGGCGGCTGGCCTTCACAGCATGAAACCGTTCGGCAATGCCGATTTCCTCCGGAGCAGCACGGCGATCAAGATCGCGGCTTTTGTCTTCTTGTCCGTCGCTTTCTTCTACTTAGGCAAGCACTGGTCCGACGGCAACCAGCAGCTCATCTTCTTCTCGCGACAGGCTCCGTCGGTGGAGACGCCGGCAGAAATTGCTCTCTCTCCTAATCTTAACAGGCAATTCAACATCTCAACGCTAATCAACGACACCCAAACGGGAACAGAAACAAAATCGATTGACAATGGGAAAGCTGCTGATAAATCTATCCCGTCTCCCTCTCAGAATTTGCCTTCTGCCATGCCTCCACCCCCACCTCCGGATCTAATCAAGAGCTACGGGGTTTTGGATGAGAATGGAACGATGTCGGATGAATTCGAGATAGGGGAGTTTGATCCGGATGTCGTGGAGAATTGGGGGAATGATACGGAGATCCATGAGGAGAAGAGTGAGGATTCTAGATTCAAGTTTAAGACGATGAAGTTTGGGCTGTGCGATGAGAGAATGAGGGAGTATATACCGTGTATGGATAACGTAGAGGCCATTAAGAGGCTGAAGTCGATCGACAGAGGTGAGAGCTTCGAACGGCATTGTCCGGAGGTGGGGAAAGGATTGAATTGCTTAGTTCCTGCACCAAAAGGGTACCGGCCTCCAATTCCTTGGCCCAGGAGTCGTGATGAGGTATTTGTTTAGCTTTCAAACACATTTGCCCCTTGTAGTTGGAAAAAGGTTGTAACTTGTATGCCGAACTGTTCTAAACATGCTATTGCTTACGCATGTAGTTTCAAATTACATTATGGTGGTTTCACATCCATATTAGTAAGACTGAAAAGTTTCTGGTAGGATTTGAAAGCTCTATATAAAATGACATACTGTTCAAACTCTGCTTAGTTGATCATTTGTCCTTTACATCTTTATTGGTTGTACCAATTTAGAAGAATGTCGTGGCCTGTTCTATGTTTGCTTGAAGGGTCATTTGGGAGCTTCTTTCTATGGAAGTTGTTCTTCATTATGTTATTATAATTAGGATATGCTGCCTTAATGTATAGGTGTGGTTCAGCAATGTTCCTCACACACGCCTAGTCGATGATAAAGGAGGTCAAAACTGGATATCCAAAGTCAAAGACAAGTTCAAGTTTCCTGGAGGCGGCACACAATTTATCCATGGAGCAGATAAATACTTGGATCAGATTAATCAGGTTTGTGACTTTTAGAGTTTAACATATGCACGTAAGTAAAACAAGCAATTAGGTCTGCATTTATTGGTCTCTGATGTTGATGTTCTAATATTTGTATGCAGATGGTTCCTGATGTTGCATGGGGCCATCACACTCGAGTGGTTTTGGATGTTGGATGTGGTGTGGCTAGTTTTGGTGCCTATTTGCTTTTACGGAATGTTTTAACCATGTCCATAGGTCCTAAAGATGTCCATGAAAACCAGATTCAGTTTGCACTGGAGCGTAATGTGCCTGCAATGGTAGCTGCATTTGCCACTCGCCGTCTATTATATCCAAGTCAAGCCTTTGACTTGATTCATTGTTCTAGATGTAGAATCAATTGGACTCGAGATGGTATGCATTTTCTTTTTTCCATCATCTCTTTATTAATTATTATTTCATAGTGAAGGAAATAGAGATAAATACAACTGGAGGATGCAGTTCACTAGATTCAGCAACTGCCACCTTTACTAGCTGTAAATTTGCAACCCTATGTGTATGTGATGCCTATTTCCATTTTTTAGTTTGGGAGTTCATCCAAAAGGACCTCTCTTTTTTCTTTCATCATGCTCCTGAAAAGATCATGTTTTATAGAAACTCTTTATACTTTTCAGCATGCCTCTTTCTTCACCAAAGTTTCAAATTTACTGGCTAACTATCTTTGATTTCTTCTTTTCTTGTTATGCATTGGGATAAAGATGGAATTTGGCTGCTTGAGGCCAATAGGATGCTCCGGGCTGGTGGATATTTTGCTTGGGCAGCTCAGCCAGTTTATAAGCATGAAGAAGCCCTTGAGGAGCAGTGGATAGGTATCACCAATCCTCTCATCTTGTTGAGGAGTTATGTGATTAATTTGATTTATTAATTGAACTTTTGCTAGTTGTTTAATTTGCACGAGTTTCTTCCACATTTTCATCTTTGTCCTGAATCTCCTGATAATCTAATAATTTGAACCTCAATCATCAGCATAAAATCTAGTGCAGTAAATGAGTAATTGTCTATGTAAAAGACCAGCAACTTAAACATGATCACCTTGGTGAATAGGGAAGGTTGTGAACTTGGGTCATGGGATTAAACAGGAAACTGCTGTTCAACAAGTAATATGGTCAAATCTATTATCCAATTCCTTGAACTTGAGCTACTTCCTGAAAAATAAGTGAGAGTGTATGTATCAGAGAGAGATAGAGAGAGATCTTCTGTTATCATCTACTTCAAGTCTTTGGATTTAGAAAACCCATTTTCTGGATTGGCTGACTCGATTTTGATTTTTCCTGAGTTGCCATGTTGAATTTGTAAAATTGCTATGTGATAGAAAATTACATAATAAGTTGCTGTATGATATGTGTTTACCTTTATTTGTCTCCAGAGATGCTTAATCTTACTACTCGTCTTTGCTGGAATCTTGTAAAGAAGGAGGGCTATGTTGCAATGTGGCAGAAGCCCTATAATAACAGTTGTTATCTAAGCCGTCAAGCAGGGACAGAACCTCCTTTGTGCGATCCAAATGATGACCCAGACAATGTTTGGTATATTTTTCATCTTGCCTTAAAATATATGATAATGTGAACATTTTCTATGTTATCTTTAATATGTGGAGCTTTATGGTATTAACGGGGAATGTAAAAGAAGTAAAATCTTATGAAAGTTGTGTATAGCTGAAAAGCTAAGTAACATGTATGAGCCTAAAACCAGAATACAGTGACCTTTGGAACAGTATGTACAGAATGTTGTAACAATGCAGGCCAATCCTTAGTCCGAAACTTGATGGCATGAATCTAAATTTTAATTTTCTTGTTATTAGAGTTTTCAAGTTACTTAATCTCAGAATCCTTTTTGCACGATTATTTTAGGTACGTTGATCTGAAGGCATGCATTACTAGACTCCCTGAGAATGGATATGGTGCAAATACTCCCCCATGGCCTGCCCGTCTACAAACTCCTCCTAATAGGCTTCAGAGCATACAAATAGATGCCTACATAGCCAGAAATGAACTCTTCAAAGCAGAATCAAAATTTTGGATTGAAACAGTAGCAAGTTATGTGCGGGCTTTTCGTTGGAAGCAGATGGGGTTAAGAAATGTGATGGACATGAGAGCTGGCTTTGGAGGGTATCATCTATGTCTCAACTTATATCAGACAATTATAACTTCTTCTTCTTCTTCTTTTCTTGAATTTCTTGAATTTGTGGTTTATTGCCTTCTTTTCTTTTGTCAGATTTGCAGCAGCATTAATTGAGAGCAAACTTGATGCCTGGGTTCTAAATGTGGTTCCTGTTAGTGGGCCCAATACCCTGCCCGTTATTTATGATCGTGGACTGCTAGGAGTGATGCATGATTGGTATTTTCTTAACTTTTTCCTACATATTTTGATATTACCATGTATCCTGGAAAACTTTATGCATGCCTGAAATATTTCCATTTTTTCCCTTAAAATTTGGGATTACTTAGTTGAACTTTTTTTCCTGTTTCAAAATGTGGCATATGTTTAATTTTTTTTTAATTTATTCATCAATTTTTTTGGGTACATTAGATGATGGACTATACAACAGAAGATAGCCCTCCCCTTCCCAAACCCCTTCCCACTGATCCCAAGATTCGAACTTGAGATCTCCAATATGGAGGCTCAAGTTCTTAACCATTGAGATGTCCACTAGGGGACATTTATTCATCAATCATAAAAGAGTTATATGGTATTTTTCAGGTGTGAACCGTTTGATACATACCCAAGGACCTATGACTTTTTGCACGCAGCTGGTCTCTTCTCAATTGAGAGGAAAAGGTACACATGATTCTATGGTCTAGTTTTTGGCTGGTATAAGGCTGTCTTATTAAATCTTGTTCACTCATCAACTTCAAAGCGTTGAGGGGGGGAGGAGTGTCTAAAATTTAATTTGAATTTGAGATTTTAAGTATATTATTGAACACTACATATATATGTAAATTTTTGGAAGTTATGCATAGGACAAGAAAATAATTTTTTTTTCCTTTGGTGTAGCAGGGATTGGGTTCTTACTAATTGATTATTTGGGGGTTCTGTTAGCAATGGAGAACATGGGTATTGTTCACTAATTCATTTATTCCCCTTTCCATTTCAGATGTAGTATGTCTACCATCATGCTCGAGATGGACCGGATATTGAGACCCGGTGGACATGTCTACATTCGTGATTCTATGGATGTCATGGATGAACTTCAAGATATAGCAAAGGCCATGGGATGGCAGGTAGTGCTGCGTGACACAGCTGAGGGTCCTCATGCAAGTTACAGGATCTTGACATGTGAAAAGCACCTCCTGCGTCCATCAAGCAAGAGATCAAAGAACTAGATTGCATTTTTCTGTGCTAACAGCTAGATAAAGATAGAAGTCATCTCACCAGTCCATCATCTCTTCCATCTGGTAAGGGAAAAGGAAGATGTTCATTGAAACTCTGTCAATATCCAGAATCATTGCATGTGTTCAGATCATTCGCTAGTAATGCGGGTTCTGTCCCGAAGGGAAAGATTCAACATGGCATGGTATGGGGCATCTTGCTCTTAAGAGCGCCTCACTCCTCAGGAGCTCCTTATAGAACTCGACTTGTAACATAAATTTGCCATACTGCATACAATAGAGCACTTGTCCGTTTATTGTTCTTAAATTCTTTGGTAGGTTGATAGCATCAAGGTTTTCAATTTATTGTTCTTCTCTATTTTGATTCTATTTTTCTGCTATACCATTTGTTATAAGAAATCCAAAACTTTTTTTGACTTATCCTCCTTCTCACAAGCATATGTTTTTAACAAATTATCACAAACCCAAGGTATTAACTTGTATAAATTCAAGCCTATCCTTCAATATGAAGGAGCAAGTTCTCTTGATTTTAAAGTGAATAACTTCACTCATTCAAATCTGGTTTGGGTTTATACAGAAATGACATAAGTTCAAAGCTCAAACACTGCAATATTGTTCATTAGAATTAAGCAGAGCATGCCATTTAAATTACCGCAGTATCTGCTTCTGCTGAAAAGAATTACAATAAAAAGCCCAAAATAGAGCATATACTGCCAAACATCAGGATGAACGATGTTCTTTCTTGCGGGGAAGTTCTAGAATGCTGAATGAAAATCAAATTTAACGTTCTAGGTACTGAAGTACCGAAATCTCGGGTCATGAGTTTGATTTATTAGCTTTTGGTCTCCACATCATCTGAGCTTGGCCGTGATGCAGATTCACTGGCCTTTGAGCAGGGGAACTGATGGGATGACTTTTTGGCCTCGAATTTGGAAACTGAGGCTGCGCTTGAGGATATGAACTTCTCGAGTTTTGAATCTTTTGATGTTGAGATTGCACCTGAGAGGATGACTCTTTCATGTTCTGAAATTGACGAACTTTTGGGGTTGAGCGCCTCGGATGCCTATATTGATGCTGCACTTGAGAGGGGGAATTCACAACCTGGTACTGATGCTGCATTTGAGGTAGTGCGTTCCCAGCCCAGTGTGCCTGTGGATGAGTTGTCAGGTTGTGCCCATCATTGTAGCTTGGGTAACTAACCGAGCCATTTATGATAAATGGACGTATATATGGTCTGGCCAATGCAGAAAGGAGAGAATTCCGAGTCTGCTTGCCTGAGACAAGTGTACGATGAGTTGTCTTACATGCTTCAGATATGTCTGCTAACTTTTTGGGCCTAACTGTCCTCGCAGTGTTTGCTGGTTGCTCAAATGGATCCTCAATCTGTGGACAGCCATAAGCATGAGTCATTGTTGTTAGTCACAAAGACACAGCATGAGCGCACACACACACACATATAGAGAGAGAGAGAGATATACAAATAAGGGTTTATTCTTGGGTAGCCATCTCGTATTGTTGTTTATATCCTCCCACTGTCCATTGAAAGGGCAGATTCCTAGCTCCTGGGCCTTCAAATTTATGTCACAAAACTGCAGTACATATTAAAAGAGTTCAGTGCAAAGTAGATCTATTCAGGGCCCCAAAGAAACAAAAGCATAGAAACTCCATTCTTCAACGTTAGTAAAAGAAAGAATATTCTAGACATAAAAGACAAGAGTGAAGGATAGACCATAATTTCCTTATGAGGTGAATAATATGTGAATTAATTACCTTTGCAACAAATGAAACAAAGAGCTCAGACAGAGAACTCCGATTAAATGTTGTAGATTTGTCTGATTTAAACTTTGCTATATTCGCTCTGCATACTTCTGCTATATGTCTCTCAGCATCAACCTGAAGACCTGCATGAAGAGAATCATAAGCAATTCCCGTTAGAAACTCTCCTAAACTGGTCCTAACAAAAACAGCATACAAAAGCAAGATTTATTAATAATTTCTAGGATATATAATATTCAGGTTTACTTATTCCAGAGATAAAAAATACCTGTGAGATCATCAACAATGTTTCCTGGGTATAGATATTTTAGAGGGGGTAAAATTGCAGGTACACATGTCTGCAAAATTAGAAGGAAAATGAACGAGCAAAAAGGTACAAGATGCGTGGCTACAAAAGATGGACTGGTAATAAGAACAACAAAATACACGAAAAGAAGATAACAGAAAGTTCAAACATTTTATGACTCCTAACAAAATCATTAATCAATTCATGTCTACAATTTCTTTCAATTGATACCAGAAATGATGACAACAATCACCTGAAAATGAAAGATAACCAGCAAACTCAGAGAATATGAATTTAATGTCCCAGTCATTGGATCATTTATATCATGAGCTTTGGCCCATTCCTTTACCTACACAAGCAAATAATGACAATATTAGAAAGATAAATTTGTTCTCCATAACTGCAAGTGGTGGTTTATTAAATTACTATACCAGTAAAACCATATCGCGGAATCGTGCATCAATCTCATTAATCCAAAACAAGAATTTGGACTTTATCTGGCCTGCAATATTATCAATTGAAATATCACAAGAGATGCCCTGGGGGTTGGTGACAAATTTCAAAAGAGGAACTCTTGCATTGGCAACAAGTTGTAATTTTCGCCATCCACCTGCAAATCAATGGTGTTAATACAAAGGAACCACTCTTATGATAATTGATTGAACCATAAAGCATGACAATATATCCCAGCCACCCTTCAACCATGAACATAAATACATCAGTAACAAGAAATATGAAATTTTAAACTAAAGGAGGAAGCAGGAAACAACATTACCTCTCTGTCTCAAAGCTTTGTGTAGTTCCTCAAGTAAACTCTTCTGCTGCTTCTTGCCAGAAGATGAAATATGAGAACCATTTGTTAACTCAATAGATATATCCAAGTCTCCCCAGCGAGTAAAGAGGTTAGAGACAAACGATCCGAATGGCTCCACACTTGCACCTGATTGCACATTTCAAAAGATAGATATTGTTAGCTTCCAATCTCTTTGCACAATTGCAATGCCTATAGGAAAATCAACCAACATCATTGATGACAATGACCTGCAGTTTCACTGAGATGAAAAACAGCTGACATCTATCATAACAAGATCTCAAAAGAACTTTCTTTCACCATTTCATTAATGGAAGTTCAATATTCAAATCCTAAAAACTATACGTCCAAAAATCTATACCAAACTAATGATCCTTATTTAATAAATAACTCTCCCTCTCATGGCATTTTAACTAGAAATATGGCCATTTTCATCTTTTTTATAATTAGAACCTCTTTAGAATTTCTGCAGATGAGATCATCTCTTTAAAAATCTTCTACAATATTCCAACATGACTTTAGTTTCCTAGACTAATTTGGATAGAACAATGCATTCAATCCCTTCTCGCAACATCTTAATTGACAAATAAGTGAGGTTTCTTAGCAATCATGTATACAAGGAAAAGTAACTTAGATATAATTCTCAGGCAGGAAGACTAAAATACAGCAAATACAATCAATTACCTCTAAAATTTTGCAATGATTGAACAACCTCTCTTAACTCCTCAATGACCCTAAATCGCGTCACCCAATCATCCTGTAAAGGTTTTATTACTTCAAGAATTTCCTTGAGAGTGGACTCCACAACACCATATGAAGCCATCTTCATGTATCATATGATAATGCTGAACGTAGTTGAGAAACATGATAAAAAACAAGAGTTTGAGAGCATGATTGCTTGATGGAATGTCCATTCCTTGGTCAAATTATAAAAATAAGGTAATCTTGTTAGAGATCATAGCAAATGAGGAATGCCTATTCCATGGTTGCCCCATTATTCTCCTAGTAAGTTGGAAGGAGGAAAGAATAACTAATAACACCTCCCTCTGGGTTTTAGCTATTCCTTCCTTCTTAAAACTCTTTAGAAGAAAATTGATACAAGCATGATATAGTCACTTCTCATTTGTTATATCTTTTATCTAATTTACCGCATATTTATTGTTTGACCAGACAATGACCACTCCACTCAACCAAACATGGCCTGAGAAACCTAATCAAAGATACAAAACAAAAGTAGAAGCAGTAAGTCCCACCTAGTATGTAATATGAGGCTGCATCAATATGGATTTGATTGTGAATGCATCTTCAAACATCTGACCAAATCAACGCATGGAAGGTTCCTTGCAAAAGCAATTACAACACAATTCTCAACATTAATTAAACCCCAAAAATTAAAATCATTTTCTCATCATTCTACTTTCATATTCTGGCAGCATCTAATACGAAACACATAGCAAAATCCCTGAACATATAAAGATCATTATCTGATAAAAAAAACTGAAAGCTAAACCCAATTAACATAAAATCAGGAATCGCATTAAAAGGCATAATATACATAAAAAATAATTAAAAAAAAAAGAAGACATCCATCAAAAAAACGACGAGACTACCATCAACATCAGTTAACACAGTCCTCTTCCCTCCTGGGTTCATGATAGATCCCTCTTCAAGTGGAAGAACCACACCCCATTTAAGGATCAAAATACCCAAATAAAATTAAAAAAAAACACCCAACAGAAAAAAGTTATTTCAGAAGTCCAAAAGCTATGAAAAAGTGCTATGTCGTACATGGAATGTCGAGTGATGAGCAGGACATTACTGGGTTTCGTTGAGTTTCCTTAGCAGAAGGGTTTTCCTCCTTTAATTTTAGACAATCCGTATCAATAATAATTTGATTGATAATTGGTAGGAAAAAAAAAAAAAAGAAATGGTAACAGGATTTGGGCTACACTGATTTGGAGACAGTGAATTTTCTTGGGTCAATGAAAGACATTAGATTTCATGGTAGGGAAGGAAAGAGAAGGTAAAGCTCGGAAACTACAGTAGGGAAATCTTTTCCCTCCCACAGTGTTCTGCTCTGCTTGGCTTTACTAGTTATTAATGAATTCCAAGATAAAATTAGGGTTTTTTTTTTCTTTTATTTTTTTATTACTTTGGACGCGCCAACAAAGAAAAAAAAGGATAATATGAGTTATTCGTTGATACGAGTGGAAAATTTTTAATTTTTTTAAAATAAATTTTAAATTTTGTAAATAAAAAAATAATTATTAAATTTTTTTTTTAATAATGGTCATACATAATTAGATTTTAAATTAATTAAAACTCAACTCGATTACTAGCATCAAAAGATTAATAAAAAAAAAAATTATAAATACAAAACTATCTTTACAAAGAAAGAAAGAGAATCTAAATTTAGTTGTCACATTTATTAAATAAAAAATTTCATTTAATAGCTGAAAAATATATTTTTTTAAACTGTTGTAAATATAAAATTTTAAATTTCATATTTACTGCTTGGTAAATTAGTAACTTTGTAATGGATATGAAACTAAAACAAAGTTTTTAATGACTACATAAAAATAAAATGTTTAATAATTAAATTTGAACACATTTATTTGAAAAGTATTATAATTAGAGTTAAACGCAAATAGAATATAGTTGATCGGGTGTTATTCTTAACTATAGAACATACCTTATATGATATAGCTTATGTCATTTGGAGTATATGTTATCAATATTTTTAATTAATAAGTATGATAATTAGACTTGAAACATATACAGAATGTAAGTGATGCATATGCAACTTTTAACTACAAAATATACGTTATATGGTATATTTTACGTAATATAGAAAATATGTTATAACGTTTTAAATTATTGATTAAAATTTTTTAATTTTTTTAGTGATTAACGTTGAAATATGATTATTGTCATACAAATAAATAACTAAATAATAATTATTAGTGAGAGAGAAGGATAAGATTACATACATTCTCTCCCAATGATAATATTTTAAAAGAAAATATTAAAATAATAAAATCCTCTAATTTAAATCTCATTAATTACGATATTAATAATTAATTTTATATAAAATTTCATATTACGTTTATATACTTTTATAAATTTTAAATACAAATATTACATTACATTTTATATTTTATTTTAATTAAATTTGATATGAAAATTTATATAAAATTAATTATAAATATTATTATTAATAAGACCTAACATGTGCTTTAACTAGGTAGATTAAAAATTTCCTAAAATAATTTCAATAGTCTTAATATCATATTATCATATTTGTAGAGCAATAACAGTGCCTCAGGCACCGCCCCTTCCCTTTCTCAGCGGCCTATATGCACATAACTAGTGAATTAATCGATCTGATCCAGTGTATTTATCTTAAGTGGTCTGTTGTTTTCGGCCTTCTGTACTCTACCATTGGGCCCTCTTTTTGTATATGGTACAAGGATCCATAACGAAATGCCCTTAACGGATTATTTTCCTTTTTGGGCCAGTGGAGAGGTTTATCCGTTTAATGGGTTTCTTTGTAAGACTTAATGGATTTTTGTAGTGTCTTATTAAGTTCAACAATATTGATTTTTTTTTTTTTGGCCAACAATATAGATGTTGGGATAGTAGATTTTAAGGTGGACGTGTAAAATTTTTTTCTAAAAAAAAGTCAATTTAAAGAGTAAAAAAATATTTATCAATCTTTATTATAAAAAAATTTATATCATTATTTATACTTTTTTTTACTTAGAATCATTGCTGATTTATATTTTCTCGCGCCCAGTTTCTCATAAAAATAAATTGTTTAATTTTATAATTATATTTCCATAAAAAAAAAAAGGTGCTCAAGCCAATGGTTTGTCACTTACCTTTTAATAAGAATGCCTACTTGAGTTAAATATTCAATTCCCAAAGATCTCCTTCTCTATTCGTATATTGCAATAAGAATATTTGTAAAAAAATATCTTTGTTAAAAAATTCAGGAAAAAAATTATAATTACAAATAAAAGAGTTAAAAGTGCTTTCATGACGGTCTCATTACTTGGAAATAGCATCAGAGCCGTCCATCATTGATACCTCACTATGGTACATGTTCACAAGAGGGGGAACGCCCTTATGTTGTTGCATGGAAACGGCGTATGCGATTGAGGCGCATTAAGGGAGCGCCACCGCAGCAAACGTCCATCAACATCAAATCTAACCAAATCTAAGCCAGCGGAAAGATCGTGATGCCTTTGGCCCCACAATTAGAACGAAATCGCTACGTGTGCTTTGCAGATTGAACCAACACCGGGTGAGCCCCCAACATTTACAAAAGCCCAAATTCCGATCAAATTATCGGTGCATATGCTATCCCTCCCCTATATCCTGCACTAAAATAAGTGCTTTTTCCTCCCAAATAAAATTAAAAAAAAAAAACCTATAACTTATATTTTAATAATATCTTTACATTAATTATTATTAAAAATAATCGGTGCATATGCTATCCCTCCCCTATATCCTGCACTAAAATAAGTGCTTTTTCCTCCCAAATAAAATAAAAAAAAAAAACCTATAACTTATATTTTAATAATATCTTTACATTAATTATTATTAAAATAAAATTAATATTTATTTAATTAAAATAATTCATATAATATTAATGTTTATTAATTTTAATATTAAATTAATTAAAAGCACAAATAAAAAAATCTTTAAAAGAGAGGTAACATACTTCTTTATTTACTAGCAATATTATTTAATTTAGACCTCAAGTAATATCAAATTATAAAAACCAACAAACGTAATAACACAATTATAATTTGTTAAAAAAATTTATATTTAAATTATATTACACTTAAATTTTTTTTTTTTGAACATTTTGACACGGAACATATTCGAAACCCGTTCAGGGGAAGGGAAAATGCACCTAACAAGCTGGTTAATACCAGTGGGCTTAGAGGCCCAGATGCTATATTACACTTAAATAAAATAAATTAAAATATTAAAATATATAAAATTTATATATATATAAAATCTCACACATATAATTTAAATTATTCCATAAAAACCACACTCCATTACATGAGATTTTTCTCAATAATAATCCCTAATTTTGTATCTAAATATATTTTCTATCTTACCATTCATATTTTCAATTTTACAATTTAAAATCTATTACACTTCCATATTGCAAAACCACAACCTCAAATTTTTTTTCCTCTCTTTCTTCTCTCACTAAGCTTTCCTTGTAGACAGGGAAAGCCCTTGAACTTACGCCTTTGAACAAAGAATGGAATATTTTCAAATTTTCTTCTTGTTTAACAGTGGTTTTTTTTTTTAATCTTTCTGGCCGGGTGTTAACAACTTGACAATGGCGTCCGTGTTAACTATTATTGCTGATTCCTGTTCAAATTAACTACGATAACACTAACGTTATCCGAGCTGTGCCTCGCCAGGGCCAATTTGGTCAACAAAATGGAGGCATCCCAACAGGCCTTATCCGAGCTCTCGGCAGCGCCACCTCTGACCGCAGCCTCAATCCCTGGCGATCCTGGTGGCGAGGGTGGTTTCTGCGCGCGCAAGCACATTCGCGCCACTCCACACGCGGTGTCATTGGTTACCACATCCCAAAGACCGTCGCTCGCAAGTACCAAGCATTCATCCTCCGTGGATCGATCCATTATCGTCACCTCCGGCTCCGATATCACATATGGCTTCAAATAATTGTCGCCTATTGCTCTAGACATAGCTAACATACCGAGGACTCGGGGAATATCCCAATAGATTACACGGCCACCGGCTGCTTCAATTCGATGCAGTTCATCGGGTCGATCAGGCTGCGATAACAAACATATATAGATGCAATTCAGTATAACAGATCATGAACTGATGATAGGTATATTTCGTACGAAAAAATTATACAAAGCGTCTTCTAACTTGAAGTATGAGCAAATACGCGGCGGCTGAACGGAAAGCGAATTTACCTTGTGATCAGAGGACAGAGGAAAAGTGGCGCCGTTTCTGCAAAGGACAGCACGCGAATCACCGCAGTTGGAGACGATGATCTTATCCGGAGTCACGATTGCAATCACGGCGGTGGATCCTACAGCGTCACACTGAGGAGTTTGAAGTTCGCAACGGCAATTCGAGCTCTTTGCACTTTCAGGCTTTTCAGTCCACGCCTGCACCTCCTTATCCATCTTATCAAAACTACGCTTCATCAGATCTTTCCACTCCACGGTCGCGCCTTTGAAAGCTTCCAGCTCTTCTTTCACTATCTCGTGAAACCGATCTCTGCACTTCATGGCAACCTAAAACGAATTTCACAACCAAATCAAACCCAGCTTAAAAGACGTACGGAGAATATATGGAAATACTAGAGCGATTTAGTTATGTAACTTACATGAGAGCAACCATGGCCGTCAAAAACGCCAAAAAAGTGAATTCCAGATGAAATCAGATGGTTACTCTCGAAAAAGGACGGATGTATAGAAACGGCATCTTCCATATCTCTTCTCCTTCCACAAACAGATGTCATGCCAAACTTAGGACAATCCTGTTCATCCACCCTTGACTCAACTTCTCGCTTCAAAGGCTCAGGATGAGCGGAAAGCTCTACTGTTTCATTCGAATTGAAACCTTTTTCTTTTTGCTCGGCTTGATTAATCCGTTCGTTAGTACCCCAATTCTCCACTGCATTACCACAGTCTCGCAGCGAAGATGAAGGAAAGAGATCTAGCTTCTGCCGCTTACAACTGTTTTCCAAAGGCGGTGGAACCGCCACATCGGCGACGAATTTAAACGGACGGATCTCCATTCTCCGCCGCCTAGAGGCTCGTGAGCTCGGCTTCACTGCTGCCGTCGGTTCGCTCTCTCCGACAATTCCACAGCAAATTCCAGCCATTCACAACTACTTTATTACAATTTTGAACAACCGGACTAGATTTGAAGCTCGATCAAAAACAAAAACGTATTCAACAACAGCAATCGGAGAATCGAAAAAAGCCGCTAAGATATGAACAAATTGGACTCTACAGAAGAAGCCTACAGACAGAGAAGAGACAGAGAGAACCGAAGATCGCAGGACGCAAAAAGGGAGACTCTTTAAAATGGCGAGAGCCGGCGCTTTTCCACACACAGGCGGCCACCACACCACCTCCTCTCTCTCATTTCATCTGGGGGCCACCTAATTGCGGGCAGCCTGCCCAGTCGCTGTCACGGGCAAAGGATCCGAAACGTAGAGTTGTTGTGACGTCGATTTACTGCAATAGAAGATGGCAATCTCTACCGTCCATCTCATTGATAAATTCCGACTACCAGACACGTGTATTAGGCAGTATCGGTTGGAAACGTGGACCAATCATTGTGCAACACGATAGGTTGAAAAGACCTTTCTTTTCTGACACGCATGTGGTCCTCCTTGGAAGACCGTCCCTTGCTATTTCTCCCTTATTTACTAGCTTCTTTAAATTATTTCTTCTTCCATATTTTGCATTTTCTTTTTTCATTTTTTTTTAGTTTTAAAAACACACTGTTGTGACGGATGTCACCACGTGGCGAGAATGTAGAATACGAGATTGTGTGTAATATTCGCCTTCCCACGCGCCTCTTGGACAGTGATTTTCACCTGGGTGATTCGGGTACATTTTTCATCTACCTGTCTTAAGTACTGCAGCTTATTTCTTAATTTGATAGCATGGGGTATTAACTTACTACTTGTTAGTACATATTACATTTCTCTTTGGTACTAAAAAAAAAAAAAATGCAATACCAATATTAAGCACATATCATGTAAATCTAAAATGTATAAATTATCATGGAAACTTAATTTTTTCACTTTTTTTTATTTTAAATCTTAGATTTTATATAGAGGGATAATTAAATTCTTAATTT